CAATAGCTGACTTTTGGGAAGTAAACTGTCAGTCGTTTCTGCCAAGCCAACTCTGGGTGGACTCAAGCCAGTAACTTAACCACGTGTACCATCCATGGACTCCTAGAGGCGAGGATGGATTATCAAATAAGCAAGGTGAGCCTGCGCTTAGGACATCAACAAAGCAAAGCCTCCAGTTGTCTAAAGTAAAGACCCCTAGATGCCAAACAGACTCAACACAAGGAAAAAGTGGAAGGGGATTGACTGGCAGAGCACTAAATGAAATGGGTAACAACTCCAGTGTGTTAGAATGTGCTTGCCGGGACAACAATTATTGGGGGGTCCTTAGAGAGAGGTATGACGTCGGTGAAGAAATGGCAAAATCAATGAGTCTCGATGAATGGTGCGTCTTCTCCTCTCACATTTTATTTCTCCTCTATTCCCTTTTTTTTTTTTTTTTTCATATTCTCAAACAGCTTTTATACTACTCTATACCATCAATCTATCAATCATTCGTTTCAAAGTAGTGTTCTAAATCATACAATTCAATCATTTCAATATTAGCATCTAGAATATCAAAATCTTCCTTGTTCCCATTTACGTAGTTAGACAATATCTGATTACTGTAAGCAAACCTTATTGTTCTTAAAATGTCAGGTTAACCTTAAAACATAATTCTAAATCTTAACTCCTATTTCTACCTTCACCTATTATTTTCTATAGATTCATTAATCACAACATGTACCTAAACATTATTTGCTATGGTAACTGACAACACAGTTGTTTCTCATGATTGATTAAACAAGAAAAACAAGACACATGTAAAGTTTTGTAGTTAAGAAGAAACGGAACAACTTCCTTATAAAAACTTCTCTATACAAGATATCTAGTTAAATTTCTGCTTATGATCTATTACTATTCCCTTTGTCCTAAATTGCATTTTTAGCTAATTTTCTAGAGGTCTTGATGTCCCTGACCGAAACTACACAGAATGTTGAATGTAATCTTAAACCTGGACTTGGAAAAACTTTGGCTGGTTTTTCCTAGTGGTGAAACCTATTGTTAGTGTGAAAAACATTCTTTAGGACTACACATGATTGAATAAGGTGTGAAGGTGCCTGAAAACAAGTTTCAAATCTCTAATACAATTCTTACTAAGATTCTACTGAAAACTTTTATTATAAAATCAAGAAAATTAAAAATAAGCTGATTAAAACAAAGAGACAGAAACTGCAGAGTCCCCATATGAGATCCCTCCTGGCACCTTGCCTTCCAAGGGGAGACCCATTGTGGCCTTGCTTAACAATGAGCCCTTCATGCTTAGGGTCCTCCGCCGCTCTGCCCCTTGGAGACATGGCCTCTGCCAAACTACAAAGCCAGCAAGGTCCCCGCATGAAATCTCCTGTTGAGGCTCTGCCAAATCAACGAGGCACCCATTGCTGCTCTGCAGTACAATTGGCTTTTTTCATGCATAGAGTCTCTCACTGCTCTGTGTTGTTGCAATGTATTTCTTATCAGAGTCATCATGGCCCCTGCCATGTGCTGACCAGAAATGAAGTTCAGGCTTGGTTCCAAGGTCCTATCACCTCAACACCTTCATTGATATCTGTCTCTTGTAGTCCCCTCGCATGTAATTGAAACTCCTTATCTTGGGATTTGAAGATTTTTAGTGCATCTCAGTTATGGTGTTAGAGAAGAGTATTGACAGTGTCATGGACCACCAGAAGAACAAACAAATCTGTGTTGGAAGAAGTACAACCAGAATGCTCCTCAGAGACTAGGATGGTGAGATTTCATCTCTTATACTTTGGACATGTTATCAGGAGGAACTAGTCCCTGGAGAAGGACATCATCCTTGGTAAAGTGAAGGGTCAGCGAAAAAGAGGAAGACCTTCAATATGATGGATTGGCACCATTGCAGCAACAATGGGCTCAAGTGTAGCAGCAATTGTGAGGATGGCACAGGACTGAGTGATGTTTTGTTCTATTGTGCCTGAGTCAGTACTGACTTGATGGTGCCTAGTAACAACAAAAATCGTGATGGGTCTTTTTGGAATACACGGGTTCTTTCTGATAAACAAAGTGGGGTTAGGCCATTGCTGTATGTACCCAATATGTGTCTGGCTTCAGCATAAACAGTTATTTGGCAAGGATGGATTAATAGGTAACAGGTGTCTGATCCACTTTGAGAGGACCATCTTGTACATCCATGTCTGATGATCCAGCAGCCCCAGCCAGGAGGGTCAATAATGGTCTTGTGCGTGTCCTGGTAAACAATCAAAGGGGAACTGCAGTCTTAGGTGGATCACAATAGCAGGGGATCTCAAATAACATGACCGTTGCAGCCAATCCAATCAAGTCCCCTTCTAACTGTATAGTTACAGAGTTATATTCTAAGTGTTGTAAATAATAATAATTATAACTTAAACTCTAAAGTGTGTTCATCATGCCTACAGACACAATTTGTGGTTAAGCACTGTCAAGTCAGTTCCGAACTATAGCTACCTGTTTAGGGTTTCTGAAGAGCAGCTGGAGAGCTTGAATCGCTAACCTTGCAGTTCAAATGGCTTTGCAGTCTGGCGCATTAACCCACAGTGCCACACCAGGACTCCATTTAGCATACAGTTCCTATAATACAAATAATATGCCATTATAGGGTGTGGCACTGTGGGTTAATGCACCAGACTGCAAAGCCATTTGAACTGCAAGGTCGGCAGTTCAAGCTCACCAGCTGCTCCTTGGAAACCCTAAACAGGGTCATTATGGGTCAGGACCAACTCAACAGCACTTAAGAACAACAACAACAACATAATAACGTACTTGTGGGTTAATGCACTGGAATGCACAGTAAGGTCAGAAGTTCAAGCTCACCAGCCACTCCTTGGAAATCCTATATAGGGTCGCTGTGAGTCGGAACCAACTCAACAGTACTTAACAATAACAACAACATATTAACATAACAAAGTGAAAAAATACTGGAAATATTAATATTTGTCTATATAATAGGAGTCCTGGTGTGGTGCTGTGGGATAAAGCACTGACCTGCAAGGTTGGTTTGAACCACAAAGTCAGCGATTCAAACTCACTAGCCGCTCCTTGGAAACCCTGTACAAGGTCACTATGAGTCAGAACCAACTCAATGGCAGTTAACAACAACATATGACAGGAAAAGTTCTAATTTGGGTATCAACGTGAGTGCTTGCTTGATATTACTCTATAGGTGCTAATAAATGAAATATTAGGCAAAGTGCTGTTATTGTTACACACCATTGAGTCAATTCTGACTCATAGCAACCCTGTGACCTTGCAGTTAGCAGTCCAGTGCTTTTCCACACCACGACTCCATTAGGCACATTCAGAGGACACAAAATTCAGTATTTTTTTGTCGTGCAAAATGTTTCTGTTTTGCAACAACAAGTGCATTTTTAATTCATCTTCCAAGATAGTAACAAAAGACATTTATTCAATTATTAGTTTCTATTTTATCAGAATATTTACATATATGCATGTAAGGAAATGGATCAATCCCTTAAGGATATAAGCTGAATTAATATTTAGATGATAAAGTTTATATAAATAAACTGTATTTTCTAGTTCCCTTCAGACTGCCATTGTTTTAAGAAACTGATAGAAAATAAGCTTTTTCTTTGACAATTGGTCCTATTAATTTTTATAGAAAGTGTGGTATATAGTGCAAATCTTAATATCCCACATACACTAACAATTTATAATCCAGTTCATTTCATTCTGCTAAAATAACATGCCACTTTAGCTAATATTATAGTTGAATTTTTTTTAAAGTTACATCATAGATAGATAAGACACTTATTTACACACACACATAGATACAAGAGGACTTCAGAAAATTCATGGAAAACGGAGTTAAAAGATGATGGAATTTTTCCACAAACTTTTTAAAGCCCATTGTTGTTGTTGTTGTTAGATGCCATCAAGTCGGTACCGACTCATAGCGACCCTATACACAGCAGAACACAACACTGCCTGATCCTGGGCCAACCTCACTACTGTTGCCATGCTTGAGTCCATCAATGCTGCTACTTGGCCAATCCATCTTGTTGGGGGGCGGGGGGGCAGTCTTCCTCTTTCTCTCTAAGGTATATAGATAATAGATGTAGATAGATACACAGCTCACATCTCCCATTCTAATGCCTGAGTAAAAGGAGGAGGGGAGGGGCACCACAGAGTATCAGTGTTTAGGGCCCTGCAGTGCCTTAATCCTGCCCTGCCTTTAGGGACAAAGCAGGGACAGAAGTCCTCATTCTAACTCTAGAACTTTTCCTTCCATCTCCACCCTGGATGCACATTCCAATCAACTTGAAGTCTTCGTGTAGCGCTGTGGGTTAATGCGCCAGACTGCAAAGCCATTTGAACTGCAAGGTCGGCAGTTCAAACTCACCAGCCACTCTTTGGAAATCCTATACAGGGTGGCTATGGGTCAGAATCATCTTGATGGCACTTAACAACAACAGGAGCTGTAAACATGCAGATGCCAGGGTTCCACCCTAGTACAATGAAGTCAGAACCTCTTGGGTAGACACTTAGACAGCTGCTTATTTTAAAGCATCCCTAGGAGTCCTGGTGTAGCACTGTAGGATAAGCACTGGACTGCAAGGTCAGTTTGAACAGCAAGGTTGGTGGTTCAAACTTACCAGCTGCTCCTTGGAAACCCTATACAGTGTCACTGAGTCAGAACTGACTGGACTGCACTTAACAACAACAACGACCCTAAGTGCATTCCTGCTCAGTGATGTGTCAGTTCCTGTCGGTCGGGAGAAGAGAGAACATCTCTCAGGTATCATCAGTGAAGGCTGTGTGTGCTCCTGACTTCTCTGGACAGCAGAGATATGCTTCTTTCTGCAGCCTCATACAACCTTCTTCTAAACATTGTTTCCAGACCCAAACTATGTGGCTCATCTGATAACATTTCAGATGAGCACTTACCTGCCTGACAATCCTGACCACTATCTCCCTTTCCCTAATCCATTTTTTCTTCTTTGCAGGCACAAAAAGGCGTTCTCATGGCTCCCCAGCCCCGAGCACTAACTCCACAAGTAGAGTTACTTTGCCAGGTGGGTAAACAGAATCGTACCATAACCTTAGTGACTATCGATAACAGAGAGGATTGGTTTCCCAAGAGTTGAAATTATGGGTGGATTCCCTGAGAACCTGGTTCATTATTTATCCAATGTCTACACATTATCCAGAGCTTTGTCTCTGTCATCCCAATGTGTGTGGTTTCCTAGGGAACTGGAATACTATGGGTATGGTTGGTTTATTACCTCTCAGGCTCATCACCTGCAGTCTCTCCTGAAAGAATAAAATCTTGCTCTTCCCAAATCAATCACCTTGATGCTCATCTGGACACACCATGGAGTATTTCTTTGAGAGGAGATGATGCAGGAGAAAGAATGTGAATCTTTGGTGAGCCAAAGATCTGGGTTCAAATCCCATTTTCACCTGTTTCAAGTTGTGTGAGTTCAACTTCTCAGAATTTCCATTTTCTCCTCTGTCTGGATGATGACAAGGATTAAAATTAATGCTAATCCAGTTAACATAACATTGATACATAGTAGGTGTTCATAGCTACTCTCTACTACTGAAAAACAGGAATGATCTTTCTTGGAACTCATGTATCATGTATTGGGGAATGTTAAGCATTCATGATGATCATGTGTAATTACTATTTAGTATAGAGGACACTTATGGACCATTGAATCTCCAAATATATAATTTCATTTTGCAGATAGACTTGGAATACATGCATTTATTTTGGGGGAAATAAGAGGTTATAAAAAGCAAAACATAGTCATTGTAGTCGATTTATAAAATAATAAAGACTGGTGTAGCACTGTAGTATCAATACTGGACTGCAAACCACAAGGTTGGAGGTGCAAATCCACCAGCTGCTCCTTGGAAACCCTATACAGGGTCGCTATGAGTCAGAACAGACTCAATGGTACTTAACAACAACAATGGGAACAAGAAATATTACCAATATTGCTACTACTCAGAGCTAATCAGAATCACCTCTCCTTCCAGTCTTTATTGAAAAATGTTTTCTTACATTGGAATTATGCTTGTCTTGGAAATTTGTTTCTTGACATTTAGATTTTTACCATTCCATTGGGACTTTTTCCACATATTATTAAATATTTTCCAAAATATTTCAGGGGTTTCCTAACATGTCATATGATTGCATGACAATTTATTAATTTATTGGAACTTGGCATTTATGTAGTTTGCATTGTTTTTTTTTAAGATTAATTTAGTTACTTTGGTTTTTGTTTCGTTTTTATTGTGAATTGAGTGCTAATTTACATAGGAGAACATCAGTTTCACATTCATCCTTTCATTACAGTGATTACAGTCTCCTCCGTGCATCATCATTCAAAAGTATTTATTTCTATTCCCTCTGGCTTTTTTTGGGGGGGGTGGGGGCGGCGGGATGTGCAAAAAAAACATCCAGGGATATATAATCGCTTAAACAACCAAAGGGCACGTTCTGCAAGCCTGCCTCCTGGCCACCAGCACACAGCCTTTCTCTTTCCATGGGTCTAGAGCCCTCAGCTGCTCTATCTCTCCATTGTGAGTTGCTTTTTATAATTGTAAGTAAGCTTAACTTCCTTGTATATACATGTTAATCTGAGTTTGGATATAGGATGGCTTTCAATAGTAACCTACATCTCTTAAGGTTCTTGCCACACTATTATCAAAGTGATATCTAGAAACGCAGTGTATTATATATGTTTAGTGGGGATTTATGAAGTTGCCAATTGATAATAATTGTTTGGTTTGCATTTATGTTATTTCTCTTTAAAAACTTGTTTTCTAATGTTAGTTCATGTTTTACACTTCTTTTGGGAATTACGATATTTCATCCATTCTGAGAGGCACATTACTTTGCTTTTGAGTCACCCTAACACTGGAATGTACTTTGTTATCATTTATCTGGTAGCATTTTTTCTTGGTTGTGCATAAAACACTGGTGACATCTTAGATTAGATGAAATATACTATTTATGTCTACCTATTTTTGTGGGAACACTGGTGGTTGACTGATAGGACTCTAACCTTCCACGAGGGAGATGGAGTTTGAGTCCCAGTCGATACAATTCATGCAAAACTGCCGGGGTCTGACCC